ATTTCATTATTTTGCAACTAGAGTTACTGTTGCATCAGTGCCAAAGGAGACCAATGAGGAGACACAGGAGTCCTCTCCCATAACAGCATCTTTTTACCTAGACATTACACCCTTTTTTGTTGCTCTTTAATCTTGTACCAGTTTTGCATAGATAGATAGATGGATAGATGGATAGATGGATAGATGGCTAGCATTACTTGGCTAACTGGACTACCCACACACTAACACTGAGGCTTATCTCCACAGGTTTCCTTTCAAACCCATGAAAAATGACTTTGATTTTAGCAAATAAAAATGTATTATCGGTGTCACATCCACCACAGTTGACTCACAGGGGTTTATTATTAGCTGCAACTGACAGAACTGGTCTGAAGGTGAGTGTGCAGGAAGCCAGAGAAGAGGGGTCCTATTACTCCACTTCATTCTAATGTTGCTTTCAGTGAAATGACTCTCTTTCAAGCACCATTGAGTCAATTTCCTTGACTGGGAGTCTGAGAATCTCTCAACGTGTGATGTGTGCATTTTGCATCTTTGTAAACAGGCATGTATAAGCAGGCAATAGGTGTGGAGCAGACACATCTAGACCCCAACCAAAGCCTGTATCTGTTCATCGGGACTTAATGGTTTCAGCAGATGGGGTGGTCTCTCATCATATTTTGACTGTTCTGGCCTTGTTATACCATCCATCCTCACAGCGCTGTGAGGCCCCCCTTGCTGAATGTGTGCTGTGCCCTGTGTGTACACAAGATCTCTGGCCTCAGTAGGGAGTGTTTACCCAGCTGAAGTCCAACAGAGTCACACTCTCAGTCAGCTGTACTGTGCTGACTGGAAAGGAAGTCACTTTGAACACATAAGAGTTTCGAAGAGCGTTATAGCCATATTAAATAATTTGAAAATGTAAATCCTAGCTTTAGAGCTAAATATTTATTCATTCCACTTAATTGTTATTTTTAGATTGTAATGTGTCCAAATCTGTGTATTCAGTTACCCCACACAGCAGCTGCAGCATGTTAAAAAAGTTATTTGTCACAAAGATTTTAGATACAAGTATTAAAAAGACTGTTATCCAGCTAATCAAATGCCACCTCCAAATTATTCAAACTGTGTGGGACCTATGCTTTGTTGCAGGACATGCTCTGATTTCTAGTTACAATGCTGCAAATCAAAGCAGGATTAGGAAGCAGGACTGGCAACAATGCGACACGAAGCAGCCAAGCTTTGCAAAACAAAATGGCAGCATTGCATTGAAAAAAATCCTTTTGCAAAATCTGTTCAGTGAACATATTAATGCTGCAAACAACAAAAAGATGTGATGGATAATATAGTTGAAATAACTGCTGATCTAGATGGCTGTCAGATCTGCTTTATGAGTCTGTGCAGATACTTTTTTACCCACACTTCTTAGTTTCTGTGCACAAAAGACAGACGGGTTCTCTGTTTTGGATGGATTGCTGGTAGAAATGGGACATCCTGCAGGTGACAGTTCATGCATCTATGACTAAGGGGAGAAGGAACGAAAATATGGCTTATTCTATCAAAATAAATTCATATTTTTTATATTTATTGGAAAATAATATCTGAAAATAAAATCTAACGCATCTATTTTCTTATTTCGATCATCCTCATCCACACCATTACAGAGGAAGAAGGGGATGGTTAAAAAAAAGAAAAGAAAGAAATGTTTGACTACACCTTCAACCCTTTGCACAGCCATAATTTAACCTCTCAATCTGTCGGCTCCAGGAGCACAGTAGCTCCATCATCATGCAATAATGCTGGATTCAATCGCAGGTGAGAAGATGATGCTCTTCAGGGAAGGTGATTCTCCCCTCCAAGATAAAACCTGTTTCGGCCAACTGCATATGAGATTTATCATCATGTCTGTTTAAATGTAGCCAATTTCACTTTAATATGATATTAAAGAATGATGCATGTCTGAGCTTCAGACTGTTCCATTTAGGGAGTTTCATCTGCCTGTGGCAGCATTCAAAACCCAGCATGGTAAAACAGTGATAGAGCTGATGTAATGTTTAGTATTGATAACAGCCCTTAGCAGAATGTGCTGTAATAATTTAAGAAAATACTGGGGTTTTTTCTACCATTTCTTGGACATATGCCTAGATTCATTCCATCTATCAGTTTGATTTGATGGGCCGATATCCACAGAGCTTTTATCTACCCCAATGAAATGAAAATAGAGTGTTGAAAACTGGCAATGTATATATGGGATGAAATGAGCACTGCAGACGTACGACTGCAACCCAACGATTGTTTCAAAATAGGTTTATGTTTTCATTTGTGATTTGAAAGGAAAAGTGCATTATGAAATTGCTGAATCAACATCGCTGCTATCATACACACACACACACACACACACACACACACACACACACACACAATGTCCAACTGTAATCCTGATACAAATGAAGGTAAACGTAATGATATATGTCTTGTGTACACAACACATCACAAGCATGACTCCTTTTTTGTTTGAACTGTACAGAAATTATGGTAAAAGGATGGATATGTGCACTGAATGTAATGCCTTCAAACATACACACACTCTGCTGTTATCCTTTTACACATTGCCTTAAAATTTGTCTCATTTTTTTAAGAGAAAATAGGCAAGATTGACCATGTACTTGCTTCTTTGTGTGTAGTGGTACTTCTTCCTGTCTCTGTGAGTGTCTCCAGCCTTCAGTGTGTCAGCTGCTCTTGTTGATTTCCGCAGGGGAAGTTGCCTCAGTGCTATCCTCAGACAAAGCCCTGACCCTGAGGGTTAAGGAATGTGAACCCGGGGCTGTGACGATCAAGACCTTCCCTTGGGGCGGACAATGCTGAACACCTCAGCAAACAGGCTAATGATCTAAAATGCTTTTGTGTTCCTCGTAGCACCCCCCCCCCCCCCCCCCCCCACTTAATTGAAGTCACATTTTTAAAAAAGAGAAGTTACACGTCCTCCAGATAAGAACAAATTCTACTTTTTGTGTGGCAGCTTGCTTTCTTTTATTTTGTTAACAACCTTGGTTTAGTTTTTTGTTTATTTATTTCACTAGTCTTAAAATATTTAGTTCCTTTCAGACCTTCAGGATCTGATGCTGACGTGTTTCTCAGCATTAATCATTTTTGAGATTTAAAAAAATATCTGTATATATCTGTACAATCTTCAGTTTTTGGTATCCATGTCACTGCCACTAAAGGATGCCATAATAACTTTTATGGATGAGTTTGTTGTGAATGGTCATACTATAAAGGAGACCTTGTCTCATTTATCACTCATTTCAAGGGAGTGGGAAAGAGGAGGTGGGGCTGTCAAAGCAACCACAGCAGAGTGTATCATATCAGTGGTGGTCTCTCATCCCCTGAGGTTCAAACACATTGCATAAAGCGGAGAAACAAAAGCAGAAGGCAAGAAGCAAGAACTAAACCAAAAGATATTTAGAGAAAGTGTATACTCCAGGCATCTAGGAGGAGAGGTGTGACAACTTTGGAAGAGCCACAACAGCCTCCAGAAAATTTATATGGATGAAGGTTAAGGGTCAAAGTGCTATTAATCACAGCCCAAGCTGAGGATTAAATAGCCTGCTCTAGCGGGAAGATGAGAGAACCCAGCCTGATCGAGGTGTTTAAAAGGATTGTGTTATGTCTGTCTTATATTACACAGTGAAAGCCCAAGGCAAAACTGTCTACTCAGCTAAGTACAAACAGGATGCCCAATTGCTCTCTCCAGCCCCTTCTGGTGCGCATTCACCCAGCGTGTCAACTCACTTAACATCCTCAGCAGTTATCAATAATCAGATGGAGCTGTGTTTGCATAATGTGGAAGAAAGATGATAGAAAAATTCACACAAACACAACGGACAATCTTCTGGGTAGTCCCCCACCACCCCCACACATAGACACCCCACCCATGCCACTGTACACCACAGAAACATAGACGTTCTCTTTCACACACGTGCACAAACACACCTCGAATCAGTGCCCAGTCAGACTTAATTTCCCTCTCCCTTTTTTTTTTGCACAACTGTCTTTGATCTTTGATGTGCCATGCATTGCATTAATTATGTATCTTGCCTCAGTACAAACGTGGCGAACACCTTCAAGTTTGTAACAGGAGCAGGCTCATCACAGAGGCCTAGAGGATGGCTGCAGGAGGCGTATGCCTACATTCCACTGCTCCAATATGCACCGCATAAGGGAAAATGCAAACCTTGCATCTGAGCTACTCCCCCCTTTCAATCTGTGCCAAAGAAAGGACATTTTTCACCCTCCTGAAACATGTTCCTGGTTCATGTGTGAATGTTGAGGGGGAGGAGGAGCACACAAGGTGGATGTGACATGAATCCACTGGCACTGCACAGATATGGCACAGAGAACAATAACAGAGGAATGATCTAGACTGCACATTGGCCTAATGCAGTGAGGGTTATGCAAATGAGTGTGCTACTGCTTGCTGTAAAGCTACAGCCTAGAGGGGATTCTGTGACTCTAACCTAAACTTTTTTTGTATCTGTGATAAATGCATATTTTGTCCTTTCTAATTTTTCCTTTTTGGAAAGCTAGAGTAGGAATTTAATACATATGACCAGATGTACAGTGGAAGGAGTTGAGGGAAGTAGTGAGAAGTCTTCCCTTGCCCTTTTTTTTATTGGCCTTCACGATGTATAAATATAATAACTCATTGTTAAGAGTTGGAGTGTGTAGTAATACTCAGTTTCCTTTTTTTCACTGGTTAAAATTTGATTTGTTGAGTATCTAGTGGCAGGAGAAGAAATGTATGGCTTTGTTGACTTTTTCATTCACCATTTGAATGCGCAGAACATTGAAAGAAGAATGTCAAATGTCCTCTTACCAGAGTTCCAAAAAAGTGACTTAAATCTATAAAAGCACATATGAGATGGGACTTAGATTGGTTACAATTCCACCAAAATCCCAGTTCCGGTTGTGTAGCTCAATGTGCTTTTCGTGTTTTCATTTCGTGTTGCCCTCGGCAGTGAGTAAATGCGGTTGAAAAATGTGTCTGCTGAGCCAATAGCCGAGGTTCAACACGTGTGACCAGGTTAAAATAACAAGAGATAAGCGGTGGAAAAAGTAAGTAGCTGCTACTCAGCTGCTGAACTGATTCCACTTGATTTCGAAAACTTTCATATTCGGAATGGACTGCGCCGTGCGGTCTCGTCCACCCTTCTTTACACGCTGCTCATTTCAAAGTTCACGCAGCGAGCCTCCAGTTTCTCTCCGTGTCGCTGCAGCCCGGTCTACGTTTGTGGGAGTACCCCCTGCGCAGGTCCCTTTTGCAGTGCAGATCCAGTAGTTGGAGTTGTATACTGAGCGTGAGAGGGAGAGGAAAAGAGTGTGAGCGCAGCAGCAGAGTGAGCAAACAGAGGTAGAGACATTAGGTTATCTTCGGAGACCATCACACATCGATCTGTCACTTTTACCGCTTTGAGCAAATTCTGTCTTCTTCGAGAAGTCAACAGCAGCAGCAGCAGCAGCGCCCTGGTCTGGTCTATTCGAGCAGCCGCCTGTAGAAAAAAACAGAAAACTCCCAAACGCGGTGGTTTCAGCTGGCATGAGCTAACCTACGAGTTAGACATGGAAACCAAACCATTCTTGTCATTGGGTAAGTTTGTTTGTTTAATGACATTGCATCGTTTTAATATGAACGCGGTAGTTTTGTGATCGCACTTGAGTCCGTATATTAGTGTGCAACGTGTCTTCGCTCTGCGTCTCTTTGTCTTTTTCTGATATTTTTTTGCCCCCTTTTCTGTCTTTTGACAGCGCGTGGAGCGAGTTGCCAAAATGCATCTACACGTTTGGGGCTGTTGACGCGGCGGAGCGGCCGTGGCTGTACAGAATTTTACCTCCGACGCGGACTTGTAGTTTATCTTTGTGTCAAAGCAGACTTATCCTCGCGGTGTTGCGCTTATAATTCAGCCGTTTGAGCTGATGACATTTGGCTGTGATACAGATGACAACGCTCGCTGTAGAGCGCGCATTCCTCGCGTGCGCTGCTGTGAAATCAACTCTAGAAAGAAAAAAAGAAGCAAGAAAACTTTACGCTTTGACTTTGGCCGTCGACACTTTTGTAAGTTTCATGAGGGGGAAAAATGCACACCGAGGTGAAGCTTTAAACTAGCAAGCAGGTATTGATAAATTATACGCGTAACAGACACATGTACCTTTTAGAGGACGGGCAATGTATTTATTTGTTTATGTTTTTTTTTTAAACTTATGTTACCATCCTTAAAGCAGAATATGCCTCGCTTTTGCGTTGTGGAAGTCTAGCGGTGCGTTGTGTTGAAGTGGCAGTCCTTAATAAAACAAAGGAAAACAAAAAAACGTGACTTGGTTTACCTCGCGGCTAAATTGACTTCCGTTTGTACTTGTGGTTTAAACAGGCAGTATAAAACTTGGCTCCCGAGCTTAAAATTCTCCTAACATTGCCTGACATCTCCTAGCACACTGCTCAGGTAAACGAACTACTGGCAACCTGAGGCCAGCACACACAGGTGTAGGAACCTCTGAGTATAGTTTTGTTTGTGTTTTTTAAAGGAGGTGAATTTTCCACTTAAGGTCTCCGTTTGTGAAGGGTCCTGTATGTGACAAATGTCACATTAGTCACATTAATTTTCCAGAAAGTAAAGGAGAACAGGGTATTTACACAGGAGTAATAATTTCTAGTAGCTGATGCAACATATTTTTAATAAGTGCCTGTGTTTTTGTTTAGATCTAATGTTTAAATATTTGGGTCATTTGCATTTTTCCAGCTTAAAGACACAGAACAACGTAAATCATTAATTATGACTGCTACTGTAAGTTTGTCAAAGTGAATGAAACAGACCCTTGTCCCCTGTTCCAGACGGGCACAGAGCTGTAGGCGAGCCCTTTTTATTGTGTCTGCTGCACTTTCATGGGGGCATCGTGTTACACCTTGACACATATCATCAGCTGCCTGTATGCACCAAGGAGATTCACAGGGACTTCTGAGGCACTGGGCGGCTTTCTTCAGTTACAGGCCTCGCTTGCTGACACTGTTGCCACAGCGCCCTTTATGTGGCTTCTCAGAAATACGCTAAACCGCCAGTGTGACACACACTGACAGGCTGTTATTACAGGTGCAAGTGTATTGTGTGTCCATGCTGAAAGTGATTCAAGTTTCACTTTACCTAATTGAGCACCAGAGTGGTCCGTGGAGCGTATATGGAAAACAAAGTGGTATCTGAAAGTCTGTGGTATCTGGCTGGTGTAAGGCTCGACACTTTCCCATCAGAGTTGGCCCACATCTTTCCCTTCAAGCTGCGCTACGTGCTGTATCAGCAACTTCTTCATCGCCTATAGTCTTAATCTGTGTGTCCTTAAATTGCCGTTTATTTTTGCACTTGCTCTATCAAAGGTCCACTCGAGCGCTTATTGTTAATTCAAGGACGCCGTTATCTGCAAAGTCCTTGAATTTATTGATTAAGCGCTTACCCGGGTAATTATCTGTCATACCACATTAGAAATTGTGATACTGTTTCAGATGACACACGGTACATTTTACAATTATAGATCGCTTGTTGGCTGCGATGACGACACCTCTCTTTGGCACCGTATGTCCAGTACTGGATGCTCATGCGCTGCCTAATCCCACTGTCTACCATCCTCCATTCATATCTGGCAATAAACTGTGGCGACTGAATGGATGACATTAAAAGGAGAATGTGTCCTTTTGTCCGAGAATTACTGGGCTTAGAGTCTGTCAGTGGAATAAACATTTTGGAACATGAAAGGAAAGGAGAGGTTTTTAACCATGCCGAATTCAAGTCTTTTTTCCTCTCAAAGTCATTTGCTCCATAAGTATTGAGTGTCTGTTTGGTTGATTATTTCATGGCTAATATGTCAACATCTAGGAAGTCTTTCTTAATGAAATCTCACCAGCTAAATGTTGTGCGTGCCCGGCTATTATTGGTCATATTGACTTTTGTTTATAATTAATTATATCAGTGGTTGAAAATGAGAAGATGCTGTAGAGTATGTTATTCACAGTGTAGTGCATTCAGAGGCACATTTGGACAATTAAATAAAATTGTCCTGATTACAGTAAGTCACAGACTACTGTAAGAAATGTAGAGCCATATTTATAATTAATTGTGTATTTGATGCATCAAATATATAGCATAGCATCTTTACTTATAACGCACTAAAATTAAAAAATAATATAATTAATAAGAAACGTAATAAGAGACATCAACAAGTCCTGCTGTGCTGAAAGCCAAGGTAAATAGATATGTTTTAAGACGTGATTTAAAAACAGCAAATATGTATATGATGGAAACAGATGAAATGTTTCCAAACAGAAAAAAGTCTTTAACAAAAGAATTGATTTAATAAAAACAAAACAAAACTAATTGACAAGTATATCAGTTTGTGGTTTTCACATTTACCTAACAAGTGAAAGATTCCTGGTTTGATTGTGGGAGCTGTTCACAAAGTGTGGTGACTCTTTGTGAATAAGACAGCGATAAAGTTCCCTTTTGCTAATTTTAGTCTGCCTTTCAGATCACTCAGATCAATTTTTTAAGTAATTTTTGGCCCGCTTCATTTTAGATGTTGTCTGTATAGTGAGTTGTGCTTCAAGCAGATGCAGAATTTAAAAAGAAAAAAGAAAAAAAAAGTTTGGTGATAGACGTTGCATGCAAGGTGCAGGGTGTTACTTTTTATAATGAAACTTTGTTTTATTCAGGCATGGTAGTCAAATTACTGTCTGCATGGTAGCGATGGTGTAGAACTGAAAAAAAGTTCAGTCAGACCTGTATTTCAAACAAGGCTACCTGGGCATACAGTCCCAATAAACACAAGCATATTCCTAAACTATGTTGATGTAAAATTCTAATTTCCCTTTGTAGTCATTAATGGGACTAAATTTAATATCCTTTATTTAAAGCCATGGTTGCGTGATGCTTTGAACACAGTGCACACGTTTACATTTGGGATGGACTTGACTAGCTGCATTCTTTTCCTAATTAATAGGTGTCACTGCTAACAATAATACACTACTGCATCGTTGGAATCACAATAGAGAGAGTAACAATATGAAGTACATCATTCAGACACACAAACATCTTTAGGTTTTCAACAGTTTTCTACTAAAAAGTCTCATCTTTTCCAGCTGTTGCAGCAGTCTCCCTCCACTACTCATGCACCGTTGCCTTTGCGCCACCTTTTCTGCGCACGAGGGTTCAAAAATTGGGAGATATCTGGCCAGCCAAAGTGCCACCAAAGTGAGCTGTAATCACATGGTGGCAAGCACAAACTAAGCTTAACACTATTGCAAAGCGTCTGATTGCTCACTCTAGGCCTGCTGAAGAGGTGTTTGTTGTTTTTCCCGAGTTCAATGGAGCTAAACTCTTTGGTGCTTTCTGTTTGAGGGAACATAAGGTACCCCCATCATACATAGTCACAGATGTGCACAATCAATGAAGTTCATGGTGTTTGATGAAAAAGTGAGATTTGCAGTGGTAGTGGTTGATGAGGAGGCGGGGTGGGGGTTCTGAAGGCTACATTCCTTTTCTGGCAGTAACTCAGGAACAAAGCGAATACTGCAAGAAGCTGTGTGTCTGGAGGGTGTGTGTGTGTGTGTGTGTGTGTGGTAGTGGTGGTGGGAGTGGGCTGATGGAATTACACTGCCAAAAGCATTTGGCCAAGTTTGTCTTTTACGGCCGTCCAGTTTTTTTGTTCCTGATGTGATGCTTTTGCTCCCCTTTTGAGGAAAAAGGGGCTGCAGCTGTCATTTTTATTGGAGGGGTTTTATTGCAAGACTTAATGGCTTAAAGTGACATCTCTCTCTCTCCAGCTCCTTTCTCTTTTTCTCCTCTCCCAGTCTCACCCACAAGGCCTCTTACTCAAGCAAATCAAAGAAAATGTGCTCACCTTCTACGTGCCCGCCCTTCACTTTCCCACCCATCACCCATGCCATCATCCAAACCTAACTATATGAGAGGAAAAAAATAGATTTATGTTCAGTTTTGAGCGCACCAAACACATGTAGACCAGAAAGTGTTTTGTTTTTTTGCTTTTTTTTTTTTTTTTTTTTTTTTAAAGGAACATCTGTGCTGATCAGTAATTATACTTCATGACTAAGAAGCCACACTGGCTTCAGATAAAACCGTGCATATTTAGTCTGTCACGCTTTTCTCTCCATCTCTGTTCTGCAGCCCACACTTGTTTATGTTCTAAACATAGTACCAATCAGAAAGTGCTTGGAGCCTTTCTAATGCACAAATCATGGAATGATTCAAAGGCTCGTTAATTATTTGTGTAAGAAGCTCCTTGCTCACAGGAGGTCTTTATTGATTGTGGCCACACTGAACTTTGCACCACAGACCTTGACCTTTGCTCCCCATATACTTGATCATTTAAAGAATTTGCCTTTGGCATTTGATCTGGCCTTTAAAAATTTTAAAGACAGTAGCGCGTAGTTTTTCTTTATTTTCTTCACCTTTCTTTTTTGAGTAACCTTTTCTTCATTTTTTTTATATTCCTATCTTTTTGATAGGATCTTAGATCGACTAAGAATGAGTCTATTTATAAAATGCTAATAGACGAGTGCCACAAATGCTCAGAGCCCAAGGTGACCTTGAC